ATGACCAATGGCAACCCGGAAGCTGTTTCTTCAACCGAATGTTCCCAAATGAGGACCATCAAACCTGGGGAATTCTTCAGTTGCTGTTGTATTTTAAGTGGACATGGATTGGGGTGGTTTATATAAGTAATGACAGTGGAGAGAAATTTATGCAGAATGTGCTCCCCATGTTTTCACAAAGAGGTATATGCTTCGATTTCATAGTAGAACTGCCGAAAGAATCCTTTTCCAGTAATTTTGCTGAAATAAGTAATGGCTTTTCTCGAGTACTCAGAATTATGCTGAGGAGCAGTGCCAGCATTGTGATCATACATGGTGATATTCAGCTCACGGTAATTCTTAGAGTGAGTCCAATGTTTGCTGAATTTGAGGGCATAAAAATGAACAGTAATGAACATATCTAAACCTAATGAAATTAGAAATTGCTTCCTGAGTTATTTTAAAAAACTTTATACCCAAGGCCCGCAAAATGAAGAAGATATAGATAAATTCCTTGATAAATATGGATTACAAAAAATCTCTCATCAAAGTAAGATAGATCTGAACCAGAGAATAATAGAACAAGAGATAGAGGATGCCATTCAGAATATGCAATTGGGCAAATCTCCAGGACCAGATGGACTGACTTCAAGATACTACAAATCCTTGAAGGAATGGTTGATTCAACCACTAAAAGAAGTCTGTAATGAGATTCTTGAGGGGAAAAAGGCACCGGAATCGTGGAAAGAAGCATACATCTCACTCATACCAAAGACAGAGACTGAGAAGACTCAACTGAAGAACTACCGCCCAATATCACTACTTAATGTGGATTACAAAATCTTTGCAGACATTTTGGCAAAAAGATTTAAAAAAGTGTTGATGGAAAAGATTCACAAGAATCAAGCAGGCTTTCTCCAAAAAGACACCTAGCAGACAATGTAAGGAATATAATAGATATTTTGGAAAAGCTAGAGGTGAATATAAATACTAAAGCAGTATTGATATTTGTGGATGCGGAGAAAGCCTTCGACAATATTTCCTGGAGTTTTATGATAAAGAATCTTCAGGGGATGGGGGTAGGACAAGGTTTTGAGAATGGTATAGCAATATATTCAGAACAAAAAGCTAAACTGATTGTAAATAATGTTGTGACTGAGGAACTTAAGATAGAAAAAGGAACACGACAGGGGTGCCCAATCTCCCCATTACTTTTTATTTCGGTTCTGGAGGTGTTGCTGAATATGATTAGGGATGACCAGCAGGTTAAAGGAGTGCAGGTCGGAGCTAAACATTATAAGTTAAGAGCATTTGCAGATGACCTAGTATTGACTTTGCAAGAGCCAAACACTAGTACGAAAAAGGTTTTAGAAATAATTCAACAGTTTGGCCAGGTAGCTGGATTTAAGTTGAATAAGCAAAAAACTAAAGTCTTAGGTAAAAATCTAACAGAAATGGAAAAGGAGAAATTCCAAGAGGAGACAGGGTTGACGGTGGTTAAGAAGGTGAAATACCTAGGGGTTTATTTGACATCTAAAAATATGAATTTGTATAAGGATAATTATGAAAAATGTTGGTCAGAGATTAAAAAAGATCTAGAAATATGGTCAAATCTGAAATTGTCAATGTTAGGCCGAATTGCAGTGATTAAAATGAATGTATTGCCTAGAATGTTATTTTTGTTTCAGACCTTGCAGATTCTTGACAAGATGGAATGCTTTAAGAGGTGGCAGAAAGATATCTCGAAATTTGTCTGGCAGGGCAAAAAGCCCAGAATTAAACTTAAAATATTGACAGATGCCAAAGAAAGAGGGGGTTTTGCCCTGCCGGACTTAAAATTGTACTATGAGGCAGCAGCTTTTTGCTGGCTGAAGGAATGGATGCTCCTCGAGAACACAGACATCTTGGATCTGGAAGGCTTTAACAATGTTTTTGGTTGGCATGCATATTTATGGTATGACAAAATCAAGCAGCATAGTGCCTTTAAAAATCACATTGTTAGAAAAGCATTGTTTAATGTATGGATAAGGTATAAAGACCTGTTGGAAAACAAAACCCCTAGATGGGTGTCACCAGTTGAGGCTAAAGCAGTAAAGAAACTCAATATGGAGGTCGGATGGCCGAAGTATTGGGAAATTTTGGAACAGGATGGAGATAAGTGGAAACTACAAAGCTATGACAAATTGAAACATAAAGTACAAAACTGGCTTCAATATTATCAAATAATGGAGCTTTTCAAACAGGACAGGAAAATTGGCTTTCAGGTGGAAAAATCAAAACTAGAGTTTGAACTGTTAGAATCCAATACTAAGAATTTATCAAGAATGTATAACTTGTTGCTGAAATGGAATACACAGGATGAAACGGTGAAATCAGCTATGATTAAATGGGCACAAGATATTGGTCATGACATTATGTTTGCTGACTGGGAACAGTTATGGACCACCGGTGTTAAGTTCACGGCATGCAATGCCTTAAGAGAAAACATAATGAAAATGATTTACAGGTGGTACATGACCCCAGCCAAGCTTGCAAAAATTTACCATTTGCCCGATAACAAATGTTGGAAATGTAAAGAGACTGAAGGAACCTTCTATCACCTTTGGTGGACATGCCCGAAGATTAAGGCTTTCTGGGAAATGATCTATAATGAAATGAAAAAGGTACTTAAAAGTACTTTTCTTAAAAAACCAGAGGCCTTTCTCTTAGGCATTGTCGGCCAATTGGTGCCAAAGAGGGATAGAACCTTTTTCATGTACGCTACAACAGCAGCAAGAATACTTATCGCAAAGTACTGGAAGACACAAGACTTACCCACTCTGGAAGAATGGCAGATGAAAGTGATGGACTATATGTCACTGGCCGAGATGACAGGCAGAATCCGTGACCAAGGAAAAGAGACGGTGGAAGAAGAATGGAGAAAATTTAAAAGTTATCTTAAGGACTATTATAAACTTGATGAATGTTAGAATGTTATGGTTTTCAGAAACAAAGGGATACAGCGATATAAGGTCAGATTATAGAGATAACTAAGGACAGAGGTTGGAAAGTAATATTGGGAGTTGCTATAAAACTATGGACATTGGGATGCAGAAAGGGGGGGGGTATGGGGGAGTCCCAGAAAAGAGGGTTATGAGAAACAATATGAAATTATGCGTGTTTGTATGTCTTTTTAAGTGTTTGTTTGTTTTTAAAATTTTGTAAAACCAATAAAAATTTATTAAAAAAAAAAAAAAAAAGGAATTTTTCCAAGTTGGCACACTTCGAGCCTTTTGGTTTTTTCGCCTACCTCGTAGCAAACGTCACAACTTATTCGGTGTTGGCGGTTAGGCATTGGCAGGGGTCTATTGTTATGCAAATGAAGGGGGGAAGGAAACGCCATCACCTTCCCCAAAAAGAAATGGGTAGTCCGGTAGAGGACTCTGGGGGGCGTTGCCTTGTCCGAAACCTAGGGAGGTAAGGGCCTCCGGCACGCCCCAGAGCGGTGACACTCGTTGGGATCCTAGTTGGCGTACTTCAACAGGACTTCCACGGCTTGTGGACAACCCTTCCCGGTCCCCATGCCGGGTAGTTGATAGGAGCCAATGCCTAAGGCCAATACCTTCCAATTCTGTAATCAATAAAGTTGTGGCCTTCTATGCCCATTAACCTTAAATACTGTGTCCGGTGTCTTCATTTCACTTGGGGGAGGGGACTTGCCACGCAACAATCTATGTAAAAAAATAGGTAAGTCAGCAGTAGTAAGGAGAAGCTAGAGAATCGGCCTACTGTTAGAAATGAGCATGACTGGACAAAACCACAATGTCAGCAATGCTGTCTACACCCTGGCGTATGATTTGACAGCCATACCTTTATTTATCAAAATTCTAAAGAACAGTAATGGATGGGAAGAGGTGGATACTTCTGACTCTACAGCCATGGCAGCTAATGTCCTGAGTACATTACTACAGAGGAATCCATCATAAAACCATCTTCAACAGAAGGCCATTAAATGTCTATCTATGTTCTTTCCATCCACTTCTAGACTTGTAACCGTATTTAATTTCTGCCTTTTCTTCAATTGCCATGCCAGAAGTTTGCCACATTTATTTGCTGATTCAAACGTCTTTTGTTTCATTTGCTTTATCTTCCATTCAATCTCTTGGTTCATCAATTCCATATATTGTATTTGATATAACTTAATCTCTCTTAAAATCTCCTGGGACTTTGGTTTTACTCTTAATTTTTTCTCTCCTTCCTTTATCTTTTCCAAAATCTTTTCTTTTTTCTCATTTTGTTTTTTCCTCTTTATTGAGTTTTGTTGAAAACAACTTGGAAAAATTCCTACCAGGCCCCTTGCGGCGACCAACCGAAGTCCATAGCAAGGTCAAAGCTACCTAAAACCTAATGGGTGGGTGGGTTGGGAAAAAACCGCTCAGCTGGCAAGGGGCAAAGAGGGCGGTCCCCGGGCGTGCCTAGTCTTAAATAGGCTAGGCCCCGCCTCCCCGGTCCGCTGAGCTCAGCTGGCAAGGGGCAAAGAGGGCGGTCCCGGGCGTGCCTAGTCTTAAATAGGCTAGGCCCCGCCTCCCTGGTCCGCCGATTGGCGGGCCGGGTCGATGACACGCCCGGGGATTCCCTAGTCTCGCGGGGGCAATGGCCAGCCCCCGCGTGGGATGTGGGAGGGATTTTCTGCCCGCAACACCCTCTCCTCCCAGGTCGGAAATGGCTTTGCGTTAATGAACAATGAAATGCTGTTCCAAACAAATAAAGCTTTTATGAGGTAGGGTTTCTATAATGATGCTGACTTAGACTGAGTCAGAGCACTGTACCATCTTCCTCTGTGTACTATCCACACGAACTTGCAGCTTCTTCCCTGAATTTCATAAAGGAGATCCTACCATTCTAATTGAGGTTGTCAAAAATTGACCTTCAAATCTCCTATGTGCAAAGCAGGTGCTCTGTCATTGACCTATGGCACTATCCTGGCTTGTTGTTAGATAGGTATGATGTCCTATTCTGCATTAAGGCCCTCAGAATATTACCTGCCACTGCTGCTGCTTCAGAAGAATCCCTCTCCCATCATATGCCATTGCTCTGTGTCCAAATTTGGATGAATGCATGGCTTGCAAAGCATGTGCCACAGCATGGACAGCATTGTAGACACTGTAGCTATGCCCAGTCATGCTCATTTCAAAAACAGAGGTAGGAAGAGTCTCCAACTTCTCTTCTCCAGTACACATTTCTTTATCTGTGGTGTCATTCATGGGGAAAGAACAGTCAAATGCATTTTCCCAAAAGACCCTGATAAAACCATCTTCCTTTTCCAAGGTAGGGTTTTTCATCTGAAGGTATTCAAGGAATCCTATTACCTGCTTGGAAGGAACTGCAAAGGATAAAGCTCCATGGAAGGCCTCTAAACCCATCATTTTTTGAGAGGGAATTGATGTGAACTCCATCTGGGCTGTCATAATCCACACTTTACCTTTACTGTTCATTTTTATGCCCTCAAATTCAGCAAACATTGGACTCACTCTAAGAATTACCGTGAGCTGAATATCACCATGTATGATCACAATGCTGGCACTGCTCCTCAGCATAATTCTGAGTACTCGAGAAAAGCCATTACTTATTTCAGCAAAATTACTGGAAAAGGATTCTTTCGGCAGTTCTACTATGAAATCGAAGCATATACCTCTTTGTGAAAACATGGGGAGCACATTCTGCATAAATTTCTCTCCACTGTCATTACTTATATAAACCACCCCAATCCATGTCCACTTAAAATACAACAGCAACTGAAGAATTCCCCAGGTTTGATGGTCCTCATTTGGGAACATTCGGTTGAAGAAAACAGCTTCCGGGTTGCCATTGGTCATTGGAGCAGAGCCATATACAAACTAAGACACATAAAGAGGAGATAGGAGGGTTTCAGTATCACAACTGCACCTGAACCCTAAATGAAGATCTAGAAAATGAATCATATCCAAGAGCATCTGAAGCCTGTTGGGAACTACCCACTCAATAGGAATACATATTCATCTATTATAATATCCCCACCCAAGTAAAAAAGAGAAGAATTATTTTTCTTGATTACATTCATTTTTGACCTATGAGCATATTTCAAGGTTATGTCTTTGTTCCCTTCAATCCTGGTGCTTTCTATCTGCAAACACAAAAATCCACATACAAGAGCATTGAGGAGTAAATTATTTGTAAATCCAAGTTAGATATGCACATCCTACCTGTGGCATCTTGTAGATGTTAAGAATGTGCGCCATGAAATGACAGATGTGAGAATTTGGTCCTGTGATAACAGCTATTGCATTGTCCTGGGCATCACACTTGAAGTTAGGGATAAATCTTCCCTGGGTGGAGAGAAGGTCCATGGAAGCAAGGTAGGTCCAGCTTGCTCTGAAATAGCTATTATAGATGTGCGTGCCCAGGGTAACATTAGGCAACATTTGTGGATTTTCATTGATCTCCTTTACAGCATATACCAAGGCCAAGATATGCTGATAGTTTTGGAAAAAGAGTCTGCAATAAGATTGGCATGCTGTGTCAAAGGGAGTCTGTTTCTGAATATGAAACGTGTAACATTCAATTTCAATATATGCTTGCTAATATCATTGCTTGCACACACACACACACAAAGAAACACATAGAAAGATAATATGTTTGCAGTGCAGAAAATTGTGAAGAAGCATTAGTACTCATTCCTGTATTTCAACTTGTTGGAATTTTAGAAAGTGCTATGCATATATGGGACACGGGTGGCTTTGTGGTCTAAACCCCTGAGCCAAAGGCTTGCCAATCGAAAGGTCAGTGGTTTGAATCCCCACAACAGGGTGAGCTCCCGTTGTTCGTTCCCAGCTCCTGTCAACCTAGCAGTTCGAAAGCACACCAGTACAAGTAGATAAATAGGTACCGCTGCAGCGGTGTTTCCGTGCACTGCTCTGGTTCCGCCAGAAGCAGCTTAGTCATGCTGGCCACATGACCTGGAAAAACTGTCTGTGGACAAATGTTGGCTCCCTCGGCTAGTAAAGTGAGATGAGCACCACAAACCCAGAGGCGTTCACGATTCGACTTAACTGTCAGGGGTCCTTTACCTTTTTTATGCATATATACTTAAATATTTATATAGTTCCATATCTACATATATAGTTTACATATGCTGTATATCACACAATTGATTCTACTGAAATGAGGCTGCATTTTAATGTTGTATTTTAATCTTGTTTTTAAGTTGTATTTTAATCATTTGTTTTATATCTGGTGATAGCCACCCTGAGCCTGGTCTTGGCTGGGGAGGGCAGGACATAAATAAAAATTATTATTATTATTATTATTATTATTATTATTATTATTATTATTATTCAACATAAGGAAAGCAGTACACTCAATAGGCCTCTGTTAATAGATTGAGTCAGATGCAAACAAGCCTGAAAATTCCAGTTTACTGAGATGGGTATAGTGGAGGTGACTGCAAGCACAGTCTGTGGTCTAAAAAGTCAACTGGTTCAAGCTGGACATATGGTAAAGGCAACCTACAGAACTGGGGAAAAGGTGCATGATAAAGAACTAAATCGTTCTCAGTAATGCATTGAATTTATGTAGCGAGAGGAAGTAACTTGTCAAATGAAGTTAGCAGGTTTAGAATCAATGAATAATAATATCTAGTGCAATAATGAGAGTATGAAAGTATACACATAGAGATGGGGCACTCAGTCACTTCTGTAACATCCAGGCAGACTCCCTACGACTCCTAAAACCACATCAAGGTGATGGGACTGGTCTTCTCTCTGACTTGGCTTAATACATTGTAAAATTTTAATGTTCTTCCAGTGTGCCTTTGTGTGCAAGAAATTCATTACCTTTCTGACATTTAACTTTCTCTTTGTTGATTGTGTATAACTCTGGTTCAGATGACTTTCCAGCAGGATGATACATATACATATGTGGATGAACTTGCTCACAGCTTGGATGCCACAGCACGTTCCAACCATCAATTTTCAGCAACTAACAGTTTTAATTTTCTAGAACCAGCATTACATATTTTTTACCTTAGATACTTCAATTTGGCACAAGGGTAGCTTATGGCATCCTGGTTTTCCTAAGTATATGATAGGTATTTATAGTGTGTTGTGTAATAAAGGACAGCACTCCGACAAGCAGCAGGAAAACTGTCATTGCTAATAAAATGATGAGCTGCCAGAGTTCCTGTGCCCTCCACATACTGGGAAGAGCCTTTGGGTGAGGGAAGATGGCTAATAAAAATTTGCTATCAAATTACCTTAGTTGACCATTTCTACTGCTGCACTACTACCTCTATTCCTACTACTACTACTACTAATAATAATAATAATAATTCCAATGTTAAATTAAGTAATAAAATAAGCAATAAAAACCTGATCAAAGTTTTGCCTATCTACACCTCACTAATGTATCATTCCAGTCAACCTCCATCAACTATAACATGTGGCATGGAAATCCTGAGCCCTACAATGAAATTGCATGGAAAGAGCTAACATAAAAAAACTGAGATACAGCCTCATCCAAGAAGACTCTAAGAGCAGATCTAAGACTCTAAGAGAAGACTCTAAGAGCAGTCTTTTCAACAATCACTTCCCACCCATATAAACCCAAAGACATCAGATCACCATGCCTGTGGATATTATGATAGGATTAAAAGCAGCTACTTCATACATGATCTCATCAATCAGTGTCTCAGATGGATGTGTTCTGAAATCCGATGAAGAAAATGTCATGTAGAACTGAGAAATAATTCCAGCAATGATGAGATCTCCAGAATGATAATACTTGTGCGTAATAGAAAGAGGAGTACCAACAGTGCATGTGGCAATAGGAGTGTCACATACCAAATTGGGCAGGAACACAAATACTGAGAGCACAGACAGTACCATATTGAATGAAAATCTACCTTCCAGCCAACAATTTGACTCTTCTATCATGCTTACTGAAGTGGCAGGAACAATCACACCATAGGTTGATTTGGAAGACCTGACAATGAAAATAATCAGGTGGGTGGAAGGCTATAAATCTGTCTCTAGACCCAGCTCCAAATGGAGCAAGGAATATTATCAACATCATTCAGACTTCATTGTTTTTCTGTGTTCACAGGAAATCTATAGGGAATTGACAAGAAGTAGAATTAACCATGGCAATTTTGATAATTATGGGCCGCATGAGCCAATACAATTCAATTGTCATGGTAGGGTGACACAGGTGATACCAACAACATCCATCCAAGTTTTCATCCTGCTTCTTAAGTATTAATAATACTTTGATAAACTTTTTTACAATGTTGTTTGTACACCAAGTTTGGCCCGGAGAAGAATGAAAAAAACCTTTTTGATGGCTGCTCACTCTTCAACACCGAAGTTCTCCATTGCAGGAAACTTAATCCTCGCCTGAATATCTCTTGTATTTCAGCTCTATGTTTCTTTTCCATTTCTAGCAGCCAGGATAAATAAAATGTGGAGAAAGACTGTGACTATCTGGCACCTTAGGGTGTTTATTTTTTGAGGAGGTGGGGAGTTCAAATTAGTGGGAATGCACCAGCAACAAAGGAAATAAATTGCAACAAAATGAAGCATGAAAAGAGGAATAGAAATTGATGGTTTCAAAATACGATTAATAAATTTGAAAGATGACATTCTTCTCAAAACAACCAATGTATATCTACAACTTTTCAAAGCAAAATTCAAACACAAAATGTATCCTGACATATCACAGTACAAAAATGTGTTTTGACCTTGATCTTTCTCTAATATCCACCTTAAAACTATATGGTGTTTACAGTGAAGAAAATAGGAGCAAACCAAGAGTAACAGCCCCAACTGGGTGTACTAATAATAATACAAACCAACTTTTGAATTGCACACATAAATGTATGAATGCATTTTCTAATCAAGTGGGATTTCAAAGAATACCAGCTGCTCCTTCAAATGGAACAAGCGTCTCAATTAATTCAGCTAGTGAATCATCAGACATTCTGCTCTGCAGCCACATTAAAGTCCAAGGATGGACAGTAATGTTTGAGAGCAAAGAAAGACAAAAGGGTTGTTCCTTGAGAGTAAAACTGTCCTGAAAGTGTGGTGAGATGAGGGACTGGTTAAGTCTGGGGAAAGTGAGTGGCGTTTTATTCTACATACAGGACCCACTTTCTGTTTTTTGTTTTTTTTTGTTTTTATAATATTTTTATTAGTTTTTTAACACATATTAAACACAAACAATACACAATACAATAACAAACAGACACATAAACAAGTATAATTTCAAAATCTTCTTTTCTTAAACCCTGTTTCTCCGACTTCCCCATACCTTCCCTTTCTGCATTCCTGTTTTCAAATTTCTTTCAACAAATCCTCACTTCAAAATTTAACTAATTACCCTTTTACCCCCCCTGTCTTTTACCTAATCAAAACAGCTGTAACCTCTTTTTTTTCCCTAACCTTGACATTTTAGCACTCATTAATTTTATAAAGGTTCTTGAGATAAACTTTAAATTTCTTCCAATCTTCCTCCATCGTCTCTTTTCCTTGGTCTCGGATTCTGCCAGTCATCTCGGCCAGTCCCATGTAGTCAATCACCTTTGTCTGCCATTCTTCCAGTGTGGGTAGTTCTTGTGTCTTCCAATACTTTGCTATGAGAACTCTTGCTACTGTTGTGGCATACATAAAAAATGTTCTGTCTTTCTTTGGCACCAATTGGCCGACCACGCCCAGGAGAAATGCCTCTGGTTTCTTAAGAAAGGTATACTTAAATACCTTTTTCATTTCATTATAGATCATCTCCCAAAAGGCCTTAATCTTTGGGCAAGTCCACCAAAGGTGAAAGAATGTACCTTCAGTTTCCTTACATTTCCAACATTTATTATCAGGCAGATGGTAAATCTTTGCAAGCTTGACTGGTGTCATGTACCACCTGTAGATCATTTTCATAATATTCTCTCTTAAGGCATTACATGCCGTAAACTTTATACCGGTGGTCCATAACTGTTCCCAGTCAGCAAACATAATGTTATAACCAATGTCTTGTGCCCACTTAATCATAACTGATTTAACAGTTTCATCCTGTGTATTCCACTTCAGCAACAGATTATACATTCTTGACAAAATTTTTGTATTGGGTTCTAACAATTCAGTTTCTAGTTTAGATCTCTCCACCTGGAAGCCAATTTTCCTGTCTTGTTTATACACCTCCATTATTTGATAGTAATGGAGCCAATCTCGAACTTCAATTTCTCATAGCTCTGTAGTTTCACTTTTTCACCCTCTTGTTCTAAAATTTCCCAATATTTTGGCCATTTAGAGTCCATATTAAGTTTTTTCACCTCCTTAGCTTCCATTGGCGACAGCCACCTTGGGGTTTTGTTTTCCAACAAATCTTTATAACGAATCCAAACGGTGAATAATGCTTTCCTAACAATATGGTTTTTGAAACCTTTATGAGTTTTTACCTTGTCATACCATAAATATGCATGCCAGCCAAACATATTATCAAACCCTTCCAAATCTAGAATGTCTGTGTTCTCAAGAAGTAGCCAGTCTTTCAACCAACAGAAAGCTGCTGATTCGTAGTACAGTTTTAAGTCCGGCAGGGCAAACCCCCCTCTTTCTTTTGCATCAGTTAGTATCTTAAATTTTATTCTGGGCTTTTTGCCCTGCCAGACAAATTTAGATATATCTTTCTGCCACTTCTTGAAACAGTCCATTTTGTCCACAATCTGCAAAGCCTGAAATAAAAACAGCATTCTAGGCAAAACATTAATCTTAATGACAGCAATTTGACCTAACAAGGAAAGCTTCAAATTTGTCCATACTTCTAGATCTTTCTTTACTTCTGTCCAACATTTCTCATAGTTATCTTTGAATAAATTCACATTCTTAGATGTCATGTTAATCCCCAAATATTTCACTTTCTTAACCACAGTTAATCCTGTTTCATTTTGAAATCGCTCTCTTTCCGTAGCTGTTAGATTTTTCTCCAGCACTTTAGTTTTTTGTTTATTTAACTTAAATCCTGCGACTTGACCAAATGCTTGAATTAATTCCAAAACCCTTTTCGTACTAGTGTCTGGCTCTTGCAAAGTAAGTACTAGATCATCTGCAAAAGCCTTCAGTTTATATTGTTTGGCTCCGACCTGAACCCCTTTAACCAGCTGGTCTTTTCTGATCATATTTAACAAGACCTCCAGAACTGATATAAAAAGCAATGGGGATATTGGGCACCCCTGTCGTGTCCCTTTTTCTATCTGAATTTCTTCAGTAACCACATTATTTACAATTAGCTTTGCCTTTTGTTCAGAATATATTGCACCTATACCATTCTCAAAACCTTGGCCTACCCCCATCCCTTGTAGATTCTTCTTCATAAAACTCCAAGAAATATTGTCAAAAGCTTTCTCCGCATCCACAAATATCAATACTGCCTTAGTGTTTATATTCACTTCTAATAGTTCCATGATGTCTATTATATTTCTCACATTATCTGACAAATGTCTTCCTGGAAGAAAGCCAGCTTGGTCCTTATGAATCTCTCCCACCAACACTTTTTTCAATCTTTTTGCTAAAATGTCTGCAAAAATTTTGTAATCCACATTAAGTAATGATATAGGGCGGTAGTTCTTGATCTGAGTCTTTTCAGTCTCTGTTTTTGGTATAAGTGTAATATACACTTCTTTCCACGATTCAGGTGCTTTTTTCCCCTCTAAGATTTCATTACAGACTTCCTTCAAAGGTTGTATCAGCCACTCCTTCAAAGCTTTGTAGTATATGGAAGTCAGTCCATCCGGTCCTGGAGATTTTCCCAATTGCATATTTTGAATGGCACCCTCTATTTCTAACTCAGTTATTTTCTGATTCAAATCCGTTTTACTTTGCTGTGAAATTTTTTGTAATCCATGTTTCTTGAGAAATTCATCTATATCTCCTTCATTCACTGGCCCTTGTGAATATAGTCTTCTGAAGTAGCTCTGAAAACAGTTTCTAATTTCATTTGGCTTGTAAATATTCTTTCCTTCAACCTCTAAGCTTGTGACCGTATTTAATTTTTGTCTTTTCTTCAATTGCCATGCAAGAAGTTTCCCACATTTATCTGCAGATTCAAATGTCCTTTGTCTCCTTTGTTTAATTTTCCATTCTATTTCTTGATTCATCAATTCCATATATTGCGTCTGGTACAGCTTAATTTCTCTCGAAATCTCCTGGGACTTTGGTTTCGACCTCAATTTTTTTTCTCCTTCTCTTATTTTTTCCAAAATCTTATCCTTCTTCTCATTTTGTTCCTTCTTCTTTATGGAATTCTGTTGTATTAGGAAACCTCACATCACAGCTTTACTTGCATCCCAAATTATTCTTTTTTCCACCTCTGTTTTCAGATTTATTTCAAAGTAATCTCTCAAAGTCTTTTGGGCCTTTTTATAAACCTCTTCATCTCTAAATAGGGTGTCATTCATCCTCCATCTAAAAGAACCAGCTGTTGTTAACTTCATTTCCATCTTTACAGCATTATGGTCGGAGCAAGTCTTTGGGCAGATTTCCACTTTCTTTATCTTTGGAGCCATCCCACTAGTTACCCATATTTGGTCAATTCTTGTCCATGTCATTTTTGCCTCAGAAAAGAAAGTTCCCTCCCTCTCGAGAGGGTTCCTTGTTCTCCAAATATCAATTAAATCCATATTTTCAGTCATTTCAAAGAAAGTCTTTGGTAGTCTCCCATCCTTGGAGACTACCTGTCTTTGTGCTTTGTCTATGTTTGTGGAGACTACTCCATTCATATCTCCTATCATAATTAAATTGTAATCCAAATAGTCCAGTAAGATTCCATGCAGTTTCTTGAAAAATTCTGACTTCCCTTCATTTGGTGCATAAATCCCTAATATCAAAAATTTTTCTCCTTGGACTTGTATTTCAATTGCCAAGAATCTTCCTTGTTCATCTTTAAAGATCAATTTCGGAACTAATTTTCCTTTGCATAGATCACCACTCCTCTTTTCTTAACTTTATCCGATGATATAAATTCCTGTCCTAGTCTTTTATTAATAAGTAATTTTCTGTGTACCCTGGTCACATGGGTTTCTTGTAAGCAAATCAAGTCCAATTGCTCTTTTTTCAAAATATGAAAAACATTTCGTCTTTTTCTGGGAAGGTTCAGTCCATTACAATTCCAACTTAGAAATTGCAAAGCCATCTTGTTGTTATTTACTTTCCCCTCCAACTGCTCCAAGCAGTTGTTCGTCCTCCGTCGGTGATTTAAGTCCAAATGTTAAGTTTAGGATATCTGTAGCTTCCTTTACTTCTGGGGTTAGTTCCACTGCCACCACCTCCTTCAGAAGGTCCTCCTCATTCTCTTCTAAGAACTGCTCTTTGTCTTGAACAGTTTTTATTTTAACTTTCTTTCCTTTGTAGCTGAAAGATAGGCCTTGTGGGAATTCCCACCTAAAAAGTATTCTGTTCTTTTCAGCAGGTTAACCAAACCCTTGTAGTGGGCTCTCGCCTCCAAAATGTGTTTAGGGAGGTCCTTGAAAATTTCCACGTAATTGTCTTCAATCTCTAAGGTTCTTTGAAAATGTAAACTTAATATTTTATCTCTTTCTTCTTTAGATCTTAATATTATCAGGCAATCCCTTGGTTTCTTTCTATTTTGTTTTTTGCCCAATCTAAAAGCAGTCACTATCTTAAATTCTTCCTTCTCTGGGTTCAGCTGCCAGAAGTCTGAAAACTCTTTTGTCAAAAAGTCCACCAGGTTGTTTTTTTCATTTTCAGGTACTGATCTCAGTCTCAAATTTCTTTCTTTTCTTTGCAATTCAAGCACAGACAGAGCCAGCTCCTGCTCATCTACCTTTTTGCAGACTGGTGTTAATTTTTCCTGTGTGGCTTCTGCAATTACTTTAGCTTCTTCGGCAATTTTTCGAGTTATAGTATTTTCCTGTACCAATTTATTTATACTTTCTGTATTAGAAGTTATACTTTGTGTATTCAAATCAAGTTTTGCTGAGAGTTCTGTCAGCTGTTTACTATTATCCGCACCCTGCTTTGTCAAAACTTCCAAAGATTCATTAATTTTTAAGCAATGCTTGTGTCACAGGGTCCGAGGACATAATTGTTGTTCTTATCTGCCCAGCTGCAGCAGTTCCTGCTGGCACTATGCTTGAAAGTGAACCCCTTTTCTTTTGTGCAGTTTTGCTCTTGGCTCTTGTAATTATCTCCTCTGCTGGACCACTCATATCCCAGTCAAGGTCGTTCCCACGTCTAGGACTTTCTTTTTAAATGGAAAGTTCCACTAACTTAGTTATTGTAGTCCACTTTGCAACTGTTTCTACAATCCTCTAGAGGGAGTAGTCCAAAAAAAAACAGGGTGTCCCTTTTAAAGTATCCAATAAAATCTGTAACAGCAATCTTCAAATATATTTCCTGGGCTTCAGTCTAATAATTAAGTATCCAAAACAGAGCAGTCCATTAACAAAGTATCTTATGAAGTCTTAAATGTGACAGTTCTCAATGACAGTTCTCAGTAGGTGCCTTATTTAGGCAGTCCATTCCAAGGAATCAAAACAGCGGGTAAACTTTTCCCTTTGACATTTTCATGCAGGTTATCCAAAATTCACTTCTCTTCCTCCCCCTGCCCCTGCCTGCACAAGGGGGATTTATTCCCAACGTCAGGGTTACTTGGTTCTCAACTTACTTTCTCAGGTTGCAGCTTTATGCTTCCTTTGCTTTAAATCTCATGCAGTCTGGGAAAGGCAGACTTCCTTAATTTATACCTGTCCTGTTTCCGGCCAAATTTAAGCTTATTTGTAAATCCCAATTGATCTTTAAGTCCTACTCACGGGTAGTCAATTTCAGTCCAAATTTCAGGAAGGAATCGGCGCTCTCCGATCATGGCGACGCGGCTTCACTCCACGGGCTGGGTAGCGACTCTCAGCACCGCGCCACACACCCGCTACCACTCCAGAGCCTTTAAAAAGGCTCCTTTGCAGTGAGGGGGGTGCAAAAGGTGCCCACCGAGTCTCCTTGTTCACAGGCTTCTGCGCCTGTGATTTTTGTGGGTCTCCCGCTTCACCGTAGCGGTCAGACCTGAACTCGCGGAGCAGACTCCCTCCGGAGCTCGGAGGGAAATCCGCCATTAATCCATGGCGCCGACCGGAAGTCCCCAGGACCCACTTTCTGAACACATGAGTACCAGGTAATCATTTGTTAGATGAGCGTTCACATAACAAGCTTATTCTTTCCTATGAGAGCATTTCTAATATGTGATCTCCCTCCAACCCTACCATGGTTTCTTCTTAAAATGGCAGCAACCAACCAGCAAAAGAGAGACAAAGAAACAACAGATTTTTCTGTTTGTCTTCTGCTCCCTGATTTGCCTGATATCCAAATCTCCATTCCCCTCCCTCTCTTCATGGTTTCTGCCACCAACCAACAAACACAAACAAGAATTGAAATGAACAAAATCCACCTGTGTGGATATCTGAAACTTTAGTGCGTATACCAAGGTTTAGGCATAATTTATTATGTTCAGAAAACTGAATTTTCACATAAAGACCAGGCCAATAATAGGACATTTGTGCACTTTATTTTGCTGCTTTGCTCCAAATGGAATATATTGCTTTTGAGTTATTTTTACATTGCAAATCTTTCTTTTTGACCAGATCTTCTCCCTGTTTGGCACCAGGACAAAAGGGTGGGAAAGTCTTCTCCTGGCAACCCGCTTTTTAGATCCCATTGGTTCTTGCAAGTCACTTGACTTGAATCAGTTACTTCATCCTCCTGGGGTGTGGAAAGCGCGCACTGAATTAAAGTTTGGGGATGATATTCTATGAAGAGCAATGTGCTGCTGCGTATTTTGATAAAACATTATTACAGAATGAAAACAGACCATCCTCTGGAAGAATAGAACCAGGACCATGATTGGAATAGGTCCCTTGAGTTCAGATGTTACCCGTCAATCATTCATTAATTTAACAAAATGTATATACTACTTAATCAACTAAAACCTCTATGCAGTTTGCATAAACACTCCCCCCAAAAACCACATTAAGAGGCAATTGACATGAAATTTATCAATGTATGAACAAAAACAGTATTTTTAAAATACACATACATCCTTAAAATTCCATGTCTGGGTAAGCTCCAGGAAACAAAACATTGTTTACCAGTCACTAAACTCAAGGAAGTGAAGGTACCTGAATAATCAACATGCCCCCAGATGGGCTTTTCATTTAAACATGATTTAGAATATGTTTATGGAGACACATGTTTGGAATGAGCAAAGTAAAGAATTCAGTTTGGCCTCTTTATCAGCTGTTCTCTTTTGTTCAAGTCAGGCCTCATCAGAATAATGTAGCATTTGGGGGAAAAGATGCAGATCAGTAACCCAGCACCAGAAGTCAAAATGGAGAAGATCTCCACAGCCACCATGTATTTCCCTTTTGTGCTCAGGTAGGTTGGGATAAAGGTCAACCATACACTGCAGAAGACCAACATGCTGAAGGTGATGAACCTGGCTTCATTGAATGTGTCAGGCAACCTCCTAGCCAGGAAAGCCACAATGAAGCAGATTATGGCCTGGAAGCCCATGAAGCCCAGGACACAGTAGAACATGGTGACGGAACCTTCGTTGCATACAAGCACAATCTCTTCAGTCATCGTGTGCATGTCTAAGATCTGGGAAAGGGGGAGATGTTGCCAGCCACACACAACAAAGACTGGCCTGAATTAGGGAGGCAGGAAAGAACAACGGTAATGGCCAATTTATTCCCACCCATCTCCTGATACTGGACTCTGGCCTGGTAGCCATGAAAGCTAAAATCACTATGGTGGTTTTGGCCAATATGCAAGAAACCGCCACTGAGAAGATGAGACCAAAAGTAATTGCCGAAGGAGGCAGGTCACCTATTAGGCTTCCAATGAAGAGCAGAGAGCAAAGGAAAAAGAGCAGGAGGGATATTAGGAGTGCGAAGGTGAGGTCCCTGTTGTTGGCTTTGACTATGGAGTGTGCAGTACTTAATGAAGACTCTGAGTACCAAAAATGTGATAACAGATAAGGAATGAGCAAAAATCGCAAAACATATCCCAAAGGTTCTTCATAAGATAAGTAACTTATATATTTTGGAATGCAGGAATCATGTTGGGTCATTTGGATACTGGTTCTTCTGGACATTGAAAACACTCATCCATGTCTGGAAAGGAAAACATGGTTTTCTTTAAAATAAAAACGGCAATAGATAGTGCACTAAAGTATTTAAGCAGTAATAGTATAAATCCTGAATCAAGGAAGCTCACATAAATGTATAAGCCATGCTTTTTTCTTCAAAAAATTTAAGTGTTACATGAGTGGAGTTTCCTCCAAACAGCCCCACTATCCTACCTTGGAGGAAGCTGTTTCATTTGGTGGAAGAAGCATCTTCCTTATACTAAGAAAGTGTCTTTATATTGGGAAAATCTTCTCAAAGGAACACAGGAAGCTGCCTTATATCAGATTAGACTATTGATTTCTCTGGCTCATAATTCTCTCTGCAGACTGTCCATGGCTCTCCAGCATTTCAGACAGATGTTGCTGTGATTAAATCTAGGATCTTCTGCATGCAGATCAGGTGCCCTAACACTGAGTTATGGATGATCTCATTACCTAGTATTATGTCTGACAAAAACCTCAAATTAGTAGTGATCCAGGAATGCCCTCAGTCACCAGATTGGATATGATTAAATCCACCATATTTATCTAAAATCATGTGCTATATTAGATTTGATTAGTTTTATTTCACTTTATTACCAACTCTTCCCCCTAAGTTTCAGGTGCCATACAACTAAACAAAGTACTACATTTAAAAACGTTTTTAAAAGTTAACAATTTTTTTTAAAAAAAAAACACCCATCCACATAAAGCCCTTACAAAAATTGTTAGAAAAAGATACAGTGTCGTGACTTGTTATATCAGCAATGGTTATATCACCTTTGAATTAGCAAAAATAAATAAATAAATAAATAAATAGTCAATCAACGCCAAAGGAGCCTGATATATACATCAATATTTTGGATTAATTCCAATGGGCAGTCAGCATCAAATTAGATGCAGCGGCACAAGAATTTCTAGTTGCGCAATGAAATGCAAGGATCTCTTCTCTCTGTGTGTTTCCGCCACATCTACCTCTTACCTGCTCTGGAGAGCAGAGGGGAAAACCCAGAGTAGATTTAGGAGGTTCCAGGGCTGTTCTTGAACAGATCTACGGGTA